GAACAATAAATGCTGTTAAATATAATATAGAGTATGGACTTTCAGTTCATGTTCATAAATCTGCATAAAACAATTTCTAACGCGTGGCAAATGTATATCTTGTGGTATTGTATTTTATAGTATTTTTAGAAGTTATAAACATGTAAGGGGTTACTTTAATTTATTCGAGTTCAGCGAAAAAAAATTGTCGACCGAAGCGAGAACATTTTTGAAGGATTAATATACATATTTTATTAGTGCGTATGCCCATAAATATATTTACCGATACACCACTGATTATTGTTCGTCTATAAACGCCCGACGGGCATGAAGTGCATATATTTAAGTGACATTACGATAGCAGTGAAACGACGATTCAGAAATCGGCTCGTGTTCTCCGGATAACGATTGTGGAAGCGCACCCACGCGCGTCGATGCTGTAAGCTTTCTCGGCGACCCGTCGAAAAACACATTCGATACCTCGTAGAACGATTCGTGGAGTAATCATCGGTTGAATGACGGGGGTGGTGCGCCTGCGAAACGACGTAAAATATCGAAATAGGTACACTTTTATATGTTAACACGGTCACGAAGGTCGAATTTTTGTGCAGCTTACACCCGAAAAAAGAAAACGTGTAATTCGAATAATAAAACGAGTTTGAACCGGCACGAGTATTGTTTTTTTTTTTTTTTTACCATGCAATTAGGTAATATATGACGGTAGTTTTTTCACCGCTGGTACGTCAGGTCTTGTTTTATTTGCGGTTCAATTTTTGCACCATTACCGTTTGGAGTAGACGTATAAAGAATATGAAATTCAATCGGATTTAATCTAATTTTTCACTGAAATGTAACGACTTGCACGGATAATGTACGTCTGTACTTATCGCGTACAGCGCGAACCATTTTCGATTGCCGTGTACGGGATCTCTTCGGTTATTGAGCTTAAAGAGCTAGCAAAGCTGGATCGTTAAAAAAATAATTTTAACTTGCTGTGATAGATTTTACGATTGTTGACGTTTTAAGTTGACAAAGATATTATATATAGACAATCTACTGTTGAGGTGAGTTTAGCTTCTTTTTTATTTTTTTTTTTTTTTTTGTTCGAATAACAATAACAATAAACGTTGCTACTGTATATTTCAAAATAAAAAATTATATGATACAATAAAAGTTGAAGTATTTTTCATTTATTCATATTTTTTTTAGACATTAAAACAGTTCCGGTTCGTTTAATTTTGCGTTAAAAAAATGGCTTAGGACACCTAGTTTTTTTTTAATTTTTTTAATTTTTTTTTTTTTTTATTTACAGTTCGTGTTGTCGTTGAAATTGTTGTCTGTTTCTATTCATATAATAAAAGAGCTTTTAAAATCCGCTCCCGTTTTTATATTAAATCGTTACGCTGAACACGTAGTCTAGTATAGTCGACGTTTTGCTCGGCTAATTACTTGAATTATTAATCCGTGTTCTTCTGTATTATGTAGGCTTCGGTACGAGTTAAATCCTATGCCTAAAATCCACGAAAAACCGCCTCGCCAAATTCTCCTTTGCTCGTTCTCCTCGGTTAATTCTGATTTCTCACGTTCCGTAAGTTTATACAACTTTTGTTGCCAAACATTCTAAATTTTAATCCAAAACCTGAAAAATCTAATATCATATCGTATATATTTTACTTGACTCAGTCCGTGCTCTGCTGTTTTTCGTGCCATCTGCGTCTCGCGGTTTCTTTTAGCTTTTTTGACATAACTTATTATAATTACCACTCAAATGGTATATGCGTATCTGAACCATACTAAAAAATCATATTTATGTAAATATAAAGTTTGCCTCTTGTGTTTTATTACTATTCAAAATTATTTCCAATTAGTTATGTATTTTTTATTCGAAACTGTCGATGAATAATAATTGTCCGCAATGTTTTCAAACTACAATGTTAAAACAATATTAAATGATATTTAAGCGCAACATATTTCATTTGTTTGCTTATTTCTTTGAGCTTGTAATTTGTATCAACGTGGTTGATACAAACATATGAGTCTTCCGATAATCGTATCAATGTATTCCTACGTCTTCGTTCTGTCTCGTCGAAAATAAGTAACTCTGTCGACAATCCGATAAAACGTGTTACGAATATTTTCATATTACCATTTAAACGTCGTGGAAAATATCACATTTCCATAATTGGATAACGCAATAACGTATGGACATAACGAACAGAATAACACGCCGGCCGGCGCAACGAAACGACTGAGCCGACCAAACGCATTCTCATCTTGATATATCATTTAACGGCGATAAAATAAATAAATTAAAAAAAAACTCTTTGCTATGGATAAAAACTCTTTGCTATCGAACCAGTCGTACGTAACTACGAACACGGATCGCAACACATTTACCATACTTATGCGTGTGACGTGTCTCTAATTGTCCGCAATACGGGTTTGGATGAATCATAATGCATTTTGATGTCAACTTATGAAAAACGGCTAAACAGTGATCACAGACGTAACGAAAAGCAATCTCAATATAGAACTATAGAAGTACTTTGATGGAAAACATTTGAATCGAGCCAAACGTATGACTTGCGCGAGAAATAAGCATAAACAAATTATTGTTTTCAAAGTAAATCCTACGCGTCTATCGAGTGTATAAAGGCTGTTGGAAATTAAAGTTTAAAAAGTACACTTCTATGATAATTAATTCTGCTTATTAAATATAGAACAAGAAAACCAACACGATTTGCATATGGTGCTTTCTCTGAGGGATTTGTTCCCTTGTCGCCCCTCAAAGCGTAAATGGCCTCCGTTCGTTGTTTCGCCCAATCCTTCACGATGAGTAAACCGAAATCGGGTTCTAGGACAAACCATGCTGGTTAGTGCGTACGGGTATGGTCACGGTAGAGGGATAGTAATTTACTGTCAACGCCTGTTATTGCAACGCGTTTCTCGGCGATATTGGTCGTCATTTATTTCGTCACCGTCGATGTTGGTGTAGTCAAAAGTAACAACAACAACAGCAACGACAATGATTACAATAATATCGTAATGTCGTAGTGTATACTTCATCGCTGCCGCCACGATAATTTATGCAAAACCTGACAAATTGAGGTTTATTGCACCCTTGCAAGACACCCGGAACGTAATAATTATTATACTATCTTCCTTGCGTACCTACCTGTAATCGGCATCTCCCGTCATCCATTCACCCCACCATCCCTACTTCACTATCGCCGAGCATGCATAATCTACAGCCCTCGTTGGGTTCCCGCGGGTTGGTGAAAATGTCTGCCCCCGCAGCAAGGATCGAAGGATGCAAACGTCGAACCGTTGTCTGAACGTGTTCCACTGACGATAGATGTTCGCATGGGCACAACTATAGCCCAAATATTAGGGGTGCTGAAATTGCCGAAAATAAAATAAAATGGTATTAACTGTAATTAATATAGATTATATAGATCTAAAAAAAAAAATACAGGAGTGCTACATTTGAACTCAAGAGTGCTAAAAATCTTATTGCACCCCCCCTAGTTGCGTCTATGTTCATGAAAATCGTTAATATGTACCTTACGATACCGTCGGTACCGTTCAGGACATGTTATCGGTCCATACGAATTTTTTTCACGTCATTCGTTATCCGTCGCTCGGTTCCCGATCCCAGCACACAAAGAATATTAACCGAAACCCGGAGTAGGTACGATGACGCGTCTACAATCAGATCCGTTGGCGTGACGTTGCCGATGAAATCGAAAAGACGCCGCGGGCCTGGAGAGCAGGGACATTCGAAAAGGATACTGCCGAAAACGCATACGCATAAACGTAATAAACACACGCCCGTGCCGTCAAAAGCAACAGGTACGTTTCATTCGGGTATTTGCTCGGGACGAGGGCGTTTGAAAGGTCCGCCAGAGGCGTTTGCCGGCGGCCAGTATAACGTACGACTATAGACGCGATAAGAGTTAAAAAATTTGGGGGAGTTTTAACCCCCTCCCATACATTTTTCAATCGCTGCTTCTCAGAAACTTTTTTCCGCCCTTCACCCTCTATAAAATTTTTTTTTTTTTTTTGGAAGGCAAGTAAAACTTAAAAATAAAAAATAAATTAATTTTTTCAGGATTAATCTCGTATATTTTTTTTATCATCAATATATAGTTCTACATGGTTTTGGGTGGGCTTTGCATTTTTTTGAGAGGGCTTAGCCCCTCCAGCCACTTTCCCTTTATTGCGAATATACGCACGACATTCCGAACGTTGAACGTAACTGTGGAAATTGTGATCACACGTGGACGGTAGCCGGAAAACGTAACGGTATCTACGTGGTACTCGTCCAGAGCCTCTAGCAAACCAAACAAATCGCGTTGACCGTCGTGGACTGTTTGCGGTTCTGTTTTTTTCCCCGTCGGCAACCACATAATAAATAATACGAGGAGACAAATAGAGGTTGTTTTTTGCGTGACACGCCGACGACGGATGCGACCATGCCACAACTGTGTGCACCGTAGGAGGGTATGAACTTGTATTTCAGAGGGTGCCTACAATGCTTTTGGCCCACGTACAAACAATACGCAAGGCCGTATCTGGAGGGGGGTCCAGGGTGTCTGGGCCCCCCCCCCCCCAAATTTTTTCAATATTTTACAAATGTTTAAAATAATTATTTATTTTTAAAACCAACATAAAAATATCAGTCACAAATGACTTAAGCTCCAATTAATCATTGACTGTTTTTAGTTTTATATCATAATATCATATGAAAATATAGCGTCTAATAATAATAATCACAGACTTCTATACCAAGTTGATATTACCAACGCGCGTATTACATAAAAATCTGACGTCTATGCTAATAATAGATTGTTTATTATTGATGGACAACGACCACTGTCGATGCCGGTCGGGGATCAGCGACGATTAACAACAACAATATTAGATTTGTGTAAATTATAACTATATTATTATTTATTATACCATTTTGCCGTCTGCAAGACTGTAACAAACACATCGAATCGTTTCATAAATGCATCATAATGAGTAAAAGAGAAAACAAAAATGTACTGTCAAATTATTTTTCTAAACTTCCAAAGATACGTTAAATTATTTCATATGTTATGTATATTAATAATTTAACTACCAAAATGTTAATTCATAAACTTTATTTTAGACTGATAATGTTCCTATTCATCTACCACAAATAGACACGTATGAGCCATCATGTAGTCATTCACCCACATATTTTCAAACAAACGAAAATAATATATTAAAATCGGACACGGAGCAAATAGTTGAAGAAAACGATATTGGCTACTGTTTCGGTAAAAATGTATGTGATGAAATAAAATTTAAATTATTAACTGATCATTGGTCACCAGATGAAAATTACAAATTTCCAATAACTAAAAATCTAAAAAAAAATTTAAAGTTTCAATTAGGATGGATTAAGCGTTTTCCTTGGGTTGTTTATTCGAGAATTGGTGAACAAGGTGCAGTTTGTAAATATTGTGCTATATTTGGTCGCGAATTTTGTGGCAAAGGCAGTCACCAGAAACTTAATACATTAGTTGTAAAACCTTTTAATAACTGGAAAAAAGCGATTGAGAAATTTAATGAACATAGTAAAACTTAATTTCACAAATCTAATGCTATGCGCGCAGATAATTTTGTAGCTGTTTATTCCAAAAACTGTCAAAATATTATTTAAAAAATAGATTCAGCGCGTGCTATTCAAATTGATCAAAATAGAAAGAGATTAATTCCTATTATTCAAATAATTATTATTTGTGGGCGGCAAGAAATAGCTTTACGCGGTACTAGCGATTACGGACCTCTCTCTTTAGACAATTCTGAACCTACTTACAATGATGGTAACTTCCGAGCATTATTGAGAATGCGCATTTCGTGTGAAGATAAAAATCTAACATATCACATTGAGAATCAAGCGTTAAATGCTTCATATATAAGTCCTATGATTCAAAATAATTTTATAAATATATGTGGAAAAATTATACAGGACCAGTTAGTTAATAAAATTAATCAGGCGAAATGTTTTTCTGTATTAGTCGACGAGACTACTGACGTATCGCGTGTTGAACAACTGTCATTGTATGTACGTTATTTAGAAAATAATTTAAATATTAAAAAAAATGAAATCAACAATTATGTATTGAAAGAAGACTTCTTACAATTTGTACCGGTAAATTCTACCACTGGTCAAAATTTGGCCACAGTAATTTTAGTTACTTTAAAAAATCTTGGTATAAAATGTGACTATTTACTTGGCCAAGGCTATGATGGCGCCGCAGCCATGAGTGGTAATTTTAAAGGAGTACAGTCTGTTATAAGAGAAGTACATCCCGCTGCACTTTATGTCCACTGTAGTGCACATTCGTTAAATTTAGCACTTGCTCATTCGTCAAACATTCACCATATTCGAAATTGTATTGGAACAATAAAATCTGTAGGAAATTTTATTAAAATATCGGCTAAACGAATTGAATTATTAAAAAATAAAATAAAAGAATTTCTTCCTGAAACTAAATGGACAAAATTAACTTCCATGTGTGAGACTAGGTGGGTTGAAAATCATGATGGTATGCTTAGATTTTCAGAAATATATAAACCTATTGTTACAACATTAGAAGAACTACAAATATTTGTTGACATTGAAACATCATCTAAAGCTTTACAGTTTTATAAGTGTGTAACAACTAGTGAATTTATAATAAGTATGATAACTGCGACCACACTTTTTTCTATAACTTTGCCATTATGTAAAATATTGCAGTCGGTGAAATGTGATTTAAGTGAAGCAGTAGATCATGTTGAAACTGTTTTAAGTGAAGTGAAAGATATGCGAACAAATATTAATGAAAATTTCAAAGAAATATTCAATAAATCAGAACAATTGTTCATATCCGTGAACGAGGAAGAAAAAATAAAAATACCAAGATTAATAAGTCGTTCAACAAATAGAATAAATGTGGATATCAAAATTCCTGAAGACTATTTTCGTATTGCAATTCCAATTCCATTCTATGATGATTTTATTAGTCAACTTTTTTTTTTTTTTTTTTTTTTTATTTAAGAAAAATTTACAATCTATATACAATTTATATAATAAGTAAATATGATGAGATGAATATTACAGGACATGAAAATCTTGAGGGAAGGGAGTGTCCAGTGACACTACTTCCAATTTAAACTTAGTGGGGAGGTAACTTTATAATAATAGCACTAGACATTATTTAATAGATCACGCGGCCATTTGCGTTTGAGGCGACGAGGGGGCAAATCAGGTATTGTGCAAGAAGAGAGTTTAGATATGAGTGGGTTTGGATGGTTAAAAGTATTTTTATGAAATTTGTTATAATGATAAGAGGCAAGAGTGGATATTGATGATATGTTAAGATCATGATGTAGGGTGCGGTTGCTGACGTACCAGGGAGCATTAGAGAGGACACGCAGAGATATTGATTGGAATGCTTGGAATTTGATTAGGTTTGAATTTTTAGTGGTACCCCACAGCTGTATTCCGTAAGTCATTGCTGGACGTAATATTTGTTTATATATTAGTGTTTTGTTATTTAAAGAGATTTTGGATCGAAGAAGTGATCTTAATTTGTGAAGCCTGAGGTTAAGGGAAGTTCTTTTAGCTTTGATATGATTAGCCCAAGTTAGTCTTTTGTCGAGAAGGAGTCCTAGGTATTTAACTGAATTGACAATGGGAATTGTTTGGTTATTTATGTAGACTGGAGGAATTGTTGTAGGCCTGAGGGTAAAAGTGATGTGAGTGGATTTATTTTCATTAACTTTAATTTTCCATAAGCTGAACCAATCTTGTAGTTGGGTTAGGTGATCTTGGAGATTGTTTGTAGTGGTGGCTATTTCGGAGTTGGTTGATATTATGGCTGTGTCATCGGCGAAGGTAGCTAGAGTAGTGTTGATAGATTGTGGTAGATCTGCTGTATATATATTATAGAGAGTCGGGGAAAGAATACTGCCTTGAGGGACGCCTGCTTTTATAGGATGTGGGTCAGAAGTTTCGTCTTCACATCTTACTGAAAAAGTACGGTTTGATAGGAAGGATTTGAGTAAGAGGAATAACGGAGTGGGTAAAAATAATAATTTGAACAGTAGTCCTTCATGCCAGACCCGATCAAACGCCTGAGCAACATCAAGAAAAACCCCAGAACAAAATTTTTTTTGTTCAAGAGATGAGGCAATAGTGTCGACTAGTCTGTGAAGTTGGTGAAGAGAGGAGTGCTTACTCCTAAAGCCGAATTGAGCGTTTGGAATAATTTGTTTATCGTTAAGTATCGGATAAATTCTTTTTAATATGATTTTTTCTAAAATTTTTGAGAAGGTAGGAAGTAAGCTAATAGGCCTATATGAGGAGGGTTGGTCAGGAGGTTTTCCTGGCTTGTAGATTAGAATGATAACTGAGTGTTTCCAGATGGAAGGGATATAGGATAGACGAAGAATGCTATTGTAAATATAAGTGAGAAGTAAGATTGCTTTCTTAGGCAGGTATTTAGCAATAGTATTGGTTATCAGGTCGTGGCCTGGGGATTTATTATTTTTTAAGTTTTTAATGATATTTAGGACTTCAGAAGGGGAGGTATGTTTTGTAGGGAGACACATTGGGAGAGTGTTTAGGATTGATGCTTCAATATTAGAGTAGTGGCTTCTAGTGAGAAAGTTTGGATGTGGTGAGAATCTATTTTCAAGATCTGATGCAAATAAGTTTGCTTTGTCAAGATTTGACGAGGCTAGGGAGTTGTCGGGGTACCGTAGGGGAGGTATTTTACTTTTTTCCTTTAGGATGTTTTTAGTGGCTTTCCAAAGAGAGTTGTCTGTATTAGAGAGAGAGATTCCAAGTAGTTGTGAAATTTGTCAGAATTGTATTTTCAAGGAATATTTTTTAAAGAGTTGTTGAGAGTGTTGAAATGCTTTTTATCACTCGGCAAGTGTGTTCTTTGCCATATACGGCGGGCTCGACGCTTTTCTGTAATGAGTTGTATTATGTGTGAGGGTAAAACATTAGTTGTGTGAGTGGAGGAAGAGTTGTTTTTAGAAGCATCGAGTGCAGCATCTTGAATGATATTTGTGAAAGAGTGAACTGCAGTATCTATATCAGATGTGTTCTTTAAGAAGATGTTGAGAGTGATGGCATTTTCTATAGTTTGACTAAATTTTTTCCAGTTTGTTTTTCCCGGAGTGATAGTTGGGCGGTTTTTTGTAGCAGTTGAAGTATCGTTTAGAGTGAGTAATATTGGTGTATAGTCAGAAGAGAGGTCTGAGGAATTGGTAATAGTGTACTTTATATGGCTAGGGAGCGTAGTGATAAAAAAGTCTAGAACGTCGGGACGTCTATTGGCATGTGAGGGCCAATATGTTGGGTAAGGAGGAGATATTATTTTAAGATTGTGATCATGGATAAATCTGTTGAGAGTTCGACCTCTAGTATTGGGTTGACTAAAACCCCACTGGGGATGTTTGGCGTTGAAGTCCCCACCTACCAGGACGTGAGTACCGAGGGAATTAAAGAAGTGCTCGAGATCATTTGGATTTAATTTTGTGCCTGGACGGATGTAAGTCGATGAGATAGTGGTAGGAATATGATTTAGTGTTAGGGAAATGTTAGTGGACTGTATGACGTTATTTTGATATCGGGGAAGAATGGTGTGTTTAATATTTGACTTTAATAATATTGCAGAACCGGCATGGGAAGAGCCATCGGGATGGTTACATTGATATGTAGTATAGCCAGGAATATTAAAGGAAGAGTTTGGTGTCAAGTGTGCTTCACAGATGAGTAAAATATCAATGGAGTTTATAGAGAGGAAGGCATAAAGTTCTTTTTTTGACGCACTAGTCCGTTAGCATTCCATTGAAGGATTGAGATAGAGTGAGGAATATTATTTTGTCTATTTATCATTAGACAAAATTAGTTTTTCAATGAGAGTAGTAAGTAGAGAGATCAATGGATTAATGGTGGATTGGAAGTTTTTGAGAAAGAGCGCCATTTGGTGGGCTGGGTGGTCGGGATTTTGGGATGCGTTGGTGGGGATGTCTTGGCTCGGTAAACCGGTTGTTGTAGCTTGAGCATAAGATTTTTTGGGTTGGGTGTTCATATTGGAAGTAGAGTTTACATTAGTGAATTTTACATTAGAGGATATTTCTTTCAGGTTAGCTTGAGTTGGGTTTGACCTTTTGAGATGGTGGACAGCTTGAATTTTTTTGAACACAGGGCAACCTCTGTAATTGGCTGGGTGGGCACCACTACATAGTGCGCATGTTGCTGGTTGGTCAGCAGATTTTACACAGCTTTCAGATGCATGAGAGTCTCCACAGCGAACACACTTTGGCGGGTGGTTGCAGTATGATTTTGTATGGCCGAAGCCTTGGCAACGGAGACATTGAATTGGTTGGTTGTTTGGACGGGGTTCTTCAATTTTTATCTTAGTATAGTAAAGGTGGTCAATTTTAAAGACATCTTTGTTATTGATATCAGGCTCCAAATCAACGAAAAAGAGCGGGAGAGGTTGTTTCGTGGTTCTATGTAAAACATTTGTGACGTTACGAGGCATGTGCCCGAGCGCTAAGAGTTCTTTCTTTATTTCATTAATTGGTGTAGAGTGGTGAAGATTTCTAATAACTATTCTGAAGGCTCTGTCTTGTTTTAGTTGATAAATGTGAAAAGCAGCTTTATTGGATTGTAGAAATTTAATGACAGAACGATACGAATCTGGTGAGCTTGTAGAGAGTTTTATGCCTTTTATGGAACTTTTACATACAAAGGGTTCACCATTCGTAAGTTGCTTAATGTTGTCACAGAAAGCCTTGTAATCATTAACCACGCGAATAAAAATAGGTGGTGGGGGTTTGGTAGGTGCGGAAGAGTTTTCTAATTGCTCAGGTTCTTGGTCCATTTTTTCGGGTTGTGGATTGTTTTCGGATGCGTCGATCGTATCCGAAAATAAGGAAAATCGATTTTGAGTAACAAATACTTTTTTTGTTACTTGCGGTCTTGAAGTTGGGGTAGATGGAGAAGTAATTGTGCGTTTTTCTGAAGTGGGGGTGATCCAGCCATCGTTGGGATCAGAATTTAAAGATTGATTAGGCGATCTATTTGGCACGCTCTGTATACGTGCTTTAGAAATGATAAGTGGAGATACGACGGTTTTAGATTTTTGTGATGGCATGGTGGTTTATCGCTTATTGAGTGTGTTGCGCAATCGAACGTCGATTAACGGGACGGATGGCCGAGTGCGTCCGCCGTAGATAACGATTACAATTAAATAGAGGTACCTAATTAATTTGTTTAAAGTTACCAGAGCTAGAAGCCGGAACTGCTTTGGTTGGATGTCGTTGCGCTTGATTTGGTTGAAGATCACTTTTAACGAGAAATACGTTTTTGAATGATAAAAATCGGAGCAAAATTGTTTGAGTAGTTTAGAAATTACGGAACAATATAGTGGTGAACAATGATTCATGGTCAACGGTCGCCACCGAGAGTGATTAGTCAACTTAAAGAACGGTTTTCCAAACACAAGACGATTTTATCGTCTTTATATTTATTAATACCAAAAATGTGTTTGAAATCTCCAATTTTAGAATCAGATTTTAGTATATATTCAGATTTTATAAATGTTAACACATTACCTTCAGAACTAAAATTGTGGAAAAGAAAATGGATTGCTTTCAAAGATGTAGATCGTCCACATACAGCTGTAGAAGCACTAAATTATTGTAATCCTGAACTTTTTCCAAATATTCATTTTTTATTAAAAGTACTAGCAACATTGCCGGTTTCTACAGCAACTCCCGAACGAACTTTTTCGACATTAAAACGCGTCAAGACATTTTTACGGAACTCTACGGGACAAGAAAGACTAACTGGACTAGCTCTATTAAGTGTCCATAGAGATGTTACGGTTAATCCCGATGAAGTGTTAAACCAGTTTGCTCTTCAAAAAGATAGGAACATATTATTAGTTTAAAATAATATAATTTGTATTTGTGTATTTTTTATTATTATTTATATTTTAATAAAAGAAGATTAAATTTTTTTCTGTCTTATTTTTAATCACATATCAATAATCAAAATCTAAATTCAATAAAATTACAATATACATGTTTTGGACCCCCCCCCCCCGAAAAAAATTTCTAGATACGGCCTTGACAATACGTATAGGTATATTTAACAAATCGTAATGCATAAACAACTATATAAATATAACTTTAATTTTTTTAATTTAATAATGTGGTGCATTTTCGGAAGGATGAGGATTCAAGATTTTATGTCATCCCAGCCCCAGAAGAAAAAAAGGTTCAAAATTTATAAATGACTTGCTATGAAGTTACAGAGAAGTATAATATTATTTACATTATGTGGTTGTAAATAATTTTTCATTTGTACTTATAATAATTATAGAATATTATAGTAATTAATTCATACTTTATATGTATTTTGTATCTAACAACCATTTATTTTTTAAAAATATAAAAGCTCCCCTTTACAAAAAATCTGAAAATACGCCACTGGATATATTAATGAATAAGTTTTCCTGGAATCTCGTTTATATTTTTTCAGATATCTTCAATTATTTATGATAATTTGTAGTCCGTTTTAGCTGTTACGTTATTATGATAAGTTTTTCTACAAAAATTAAGAATATTTTGTTTTATATTCCCTATTGCGAAACATCATTTATTTTTTACGAAATATTTTATAATAAATTACATTTAATTCGAGCAACGTCAGTTAAAACACGGACCCCTCACTCTAAAACTTAAATTGTAAAACCCTATTTAAAACATTATTGGGGGTGCTCGGCAACACCCAGTAACTATCGTGCTGCGCACGCCTATGCTGTGCAAACTTCACTTGTCTGCGTGTATTATAATTCTACCGTCTCAATGTTAACAGCATTTTAATTGTACGTACTCGACGGCACTTGATTGCTCGTTAACGTTCTCAGAAAGGCCGTTTCGAGTTTTCGTCAAAACCTTTGAGACCCCGGATCCACCGCCACAATTATAGACAGTTTTTCGTTAACGAGTATTTAATCTCGGTTTTTCTTTGAATTTTCAATTGTGAAATTTTTACCCGCACCCGTCCACGTTGTACTCGAGGACTTAGGAAACGAATTAGAATAAGAACCGTAGATGTGCTTAACGCACATGTGGACCACACGCGATTGTGTTCAACAAAGTCAACTACGTTCGAAAGTGATTATAGCTACACTCGGTGTCGACATTTGAATGTTATCATTCATAATCTTCCATATTGGCTGAAGGGGCAAACACATTGAAATACATATAAGATATTTTAAAAATCACATTGCATATACAGCGTATACCATAAGGAATAATTAATTTTTTCTTCTATATAGATATATATATAAATATAAAAATATAAAAGGAGTCAGAGTTGTACCATTGAAAATCCTTGTTGATTTGTGGTAATCCATCGATCAGTTTTAAGAGAAAAACGGCTGACATATGGAGTCATATAAGGTATCTTCGGTCAAAATATTGTGCAGATAGGAACAGAGGAACTCGCAAGCAGATTGGTCAGATGGCTTAAAAGGTACAACAAAAAACATTCAAGTACTTTTATGTCTGATTTTTTGTATGCGAAAAAATGTTGTTAATATAATATATAATATAATAATATTTTCCCCCGATTCACCGCGTATCTTTTTTATTTTTATTTTTTATTATTATTAAAAAAGATTGTATAAGTAAATAATAGGTAAAATAGATATTACACTACTCTCGTTGATGCGACGACGATGATGTTTTTTACAAAAAAAAAATAGCTGATATCAAAATTATTTCGTTATAACTTCGCGTAAAAAAAAACCAGTTTAAAAAAAGTGTATTTAGTGACATTATTTAATCTAGTAATGATTCAAATTTTAAAATATTACATAATATGAAACTAAGTAAAATTACAGTTTTTAATACTACAAACACCTATAACGACAAATAAGATTAACTTTTATGTTAAAATTTTAGTCAACATATCGTTTGCTTGGGAGGACGTAAAATAAAATACAAATAAATAATCAATATAATAAATGTCGTAAATGAATATAGTTATTTATAAACAATATGTTAATTAAGTTTTTAATATTACAATTAATCTTATTTTTCATCATAGGTATTGTAACATTAAAAATGGCATATTAATTAGTTTCCATATTATGCTCGTACCACGTATTTTAAAGGTTTAATCATTACTTCACATTTTTTTGACTTATTTGACATACTTGACCTATTTTATACAAGTAGTTATAACGCAATGTTTTTGGTGTGTAGTATATAATATATACTACTCACCAAAATATATGATATATTAAATATTATATATATATATATATATATATATATATGTGTGTGTGTGTGTGTGTGTGTGTGTGTGTGTGTGTGTGTTAATTTATCTTGATTGGCGATTGTTAAACACAACATATTACATAAAATAAAATATATTTCCCAAAAGTGAAAAAGTTTCTAAATCCTACCCAAAACAGTTTCAACCCTAAAATTTGCGATTATCGAGAAATCCTTTCTTATTGCACATCTAGAGTATTTGAAGAACTACGATTCGTAATAACAAGTTCATAAGATTAGTAGTTGTTGAGAAATAGTGATCAGCAAGTTAATGGTATTTGGCTTTTAATATATTTATATATTTAAGAAAAAATTACTGTTTATTGGTATACGGATGTATTTTTAAATTCTGAGTGAAACGAAAAATGTATTGATTTTATCATAATGAGTATAAATTTTTTTTTATATCTGTGTTCTTGATTTTGTCTTGATTTTCCGATTTTTACTTCGATTATCACAACCATAAGAGATTTCTGATAAAAAATGTTATCCAGTTGGTACTACAAAAGTTTTCTAAATAATTGTAAAAAATGTAAAATTTAACCTTATTAAAATATTGGTTCTTTTACTACATCAATCATTTTTAGAAATAGTAATTGATACACATTCACTCCAAGTTTTCTGGGAGCAATGCTACATTAGTTTGAAGTTAAAAATAACATTCACCAATTTCTGAATCAAATCCATCTAGGAGTTTTGCCGCTTTCTTTTTTTTTTCAGATAACACACGTATCATGTTTGATATTAAACATATACGATTAAATAGTCCTGGCAGGTTTTTATTTTATTTTACCATAACATTAAAACAATGTAATTTTTTTTCAAATGCCAACAGTTGAAAAAGTATTTTTAAATTAAACATTGCGGGTGTTTGCCTCAAAGAATTAAAAGATTAAACGCGCACAACAGTTCATTGTTTTACGCCATACTATGTACTGCGTACACAATGCAGATAAAAATGATTAATGAGAAATTAATAAACCGGGAGCGTTAATAATCACTCGTGAGTCCACGCACAGGTAAAATTATATATATGGTAATAATAATAATAATAATAATAATAATAATAATAATAATAATAAAAATAATAATAATAATAATGATAATAATAATAATAATGATAATAATAATA